GCTCGAGCTGTAACTGCGCGAGGCCAGGGCGGTGGCGCCTCCCGCGCGCAGGCACTCTAGGGAGCTGGAGAAGGAGCCCAGGCCGTTGCGTTCAGAATGCTCTGCTCGGCGGGGAGCAGCGCGGTAGAGCTCTGGATGTGGATGAAGCGTGTGTTTTGCTTTACGTCTCATCTTTGAAGGCAGTTCGTAAGGCCACGCCAGCACCTACTATTAATGAATGTTATCTGTACTGCCTTCGAGACGTTTGCTAATTTTCAAAGCCGCGATATAGCACCAGTCAGATCTGGATTATAACTGATACTGTTGAAATTCAGTCCACTAGGCTTACCTGAAAGCACTACTGCAAATGAGGGGTCTTGTCCCTCCGTGTAGAGGTCTAAGTGTCCCTCTTAGCTATGCTTTCAAAACCACAATTGAACGCATTGCTTTCTATTAAGTGATCCAAGTAATTTGAAAATGTGGAGGGCAGACTGTATGTTTCTCCTCAGCTGACAGACTGGGATCTTAAGGGGTGTTATGTTAATGTTTTGTCTCTATAAACCAGCACAGTCTCTGGAGAATACATTGTTGGTTACAGAATGCAAAATACATACAAAAGTGACTATGAGTCGTTCTAAAAGTTCAAAGCCCTTATTTTTGAAATAGCCGATACGACTGCCAATTGCCAGGAACATGTACTTCTATACAGTCTCTTCTAGGAAGTAGGTTGTTCTGTTCCAGTATACACTCATTACAGATGTAATGTTTAGCAGACAAAGTGATTTTAAAACTGGATTCTGGGACAGATGCTTCGTAATCAGTGGTATCAGTCAGCACCCAAGACTTCTTTATAGGGAGTGCTGCTATTCATAACTGAACTTGCTTAGTGTCTTTTAGTGTATATCTGTGCAATTGTTTAATTAAACTTCCACAGGCATGTGATGCTGCCAAGAGAACTTTTAAAACAAGTGCCAAAATCCCATCTAATGTCCGAAGAAGAGTGGAGACGACTTGGTGTTCAGCAAAGTCTTGGCTGGGTTCACTATATGATCCATGAGCCAGGTAAGTTCATGTGAACAGAATTAGATGAACAAAAGGGTCTTAAGTATCAACTGCTTGATGCATTTGTCAACAAAGGCAACATTAACAGCCTTTATTTTAAACCTTCACATCTTGCTTGCAGATTTGCAAAATGCTACCTTTGTCCTAGGTATGTATGGTCTGTCAGTAGACAAAATGTGTCAGACTGGAAATTGTTCTTATCTGCCTATAGAAATAGGCTTCTTTGAGCTCTTGAATAATGTTAGTTTCTCAGTGACTGAACCAAACTTTATACAGCAGCTTATCTTTAAATAAAAAGCATCTACTTTTTCTACAGATGCTTAATAGATGCTCATGTGGACAAGGTTTAATGCTCTGAAGTCTACAGTATAGTTTAAACTCTAGTAATACAGTCCACTAAAAGCAGCACTTAAAACCAGTCTTTCAATTAATGGGGTGTGAAGCCCTAAAACGGCCAGCTAGGATGTGCTGAAAACACCCAAAGTATCTTAGCATTGACAAGCCTGACTAAAAAGTAAGCGGTGGTAGATGAATTGCAGCAGTATGGAGTTCCAAGTTTCTGAAGAACCAGGAGAATAAATTAGTATAACCTGCCAGTGTTCCCCTTACCTGGGCACCTTTTGATACTTCTGGCTTATTTGGAGGAGTAAAATTAAGTTGGATCGGTAATAATGTACGATGGTTGTAATATGTCATTTTTGTTGATGCTTGACACTATGTGCCTAACAAGGACAGCATCAGCAGTTTGTTAGTCTAAGTTACAGTAACAAAGCTCATCAAACAGCCTAATGTAGAGAGGCAGAGTTAGTACCAATACTAACTAAATATACTCTATATTTTTTTCCCGTACTTCCTGTAAATTCCATAAGTCTATGATACTGACAACATTTGATATGAAACTTTCAAAAGCAGCACCAGTTTGACTGTTACAAGGTTACTGCAAAATTGATCTTAATACCACACATGCGGCCATATTTGTGGACTTGTTCATCTGCTTATTATTTGACAAGCTTCAACTATTGTTCAAGACTTCCTAAATGGAATAAATCCTTGTAAGCAAGACTTTTGGGACAGACTGACACTTTGTTCAATTTTATTTCTGCAGAACCGCATATTCTTCTCTTCCGAAGACCTCTTCCAAAGGATGAGAAGAAATGAGTCGTGTGTAAATTTCATCCTAAATCTTCTGGAACTATGTCTATGAGTGTATATATGTTGGTAGTATTCAGTGAATACTTTAAAATGTACAAAACATACATCCATGCCTGTGCATGAGCTGTATTATTCACAGCAACAAAGCTCAGTCAAATGCAATTCCAAGTAGGCTGCTATTGTGTTAAAAGATTGATGACATTTTCTCTACTGTTAATGTGAGTGCCTGGCATTTAAATGAATTTTAATAAAGGTTATGTATTGCATGATGAATTGCATGTTCTGCCTAGGTGACCACTTATGTGTTCAGTCTTTTGCACTCAGCTTTTCTGCCAACTGTAGCATGTTCAAATCCAATGGCTTACCTGTTTATAAATAAAGAAATAAAATGTAGTCTTAATGTTCTATAAAACCTCAGTGCCTAGAGTTTTAATTTGCCAGACAAAACAAATAGTCCTTGTCTAACATGTTAAAGAGTACCTACTTCAGGAAAAAATTAGTGAACCTATGTTGTTTCTCTGCCAGAATTACTTTGCCCTACAGGCCAAAGTTCCTGATCCTGATTGGAATTGCCAACTGCAGACAATCTGAAAAGAAAGCTGGCAGTGACAGGTAATACTCAAACTAGCTTCTGACATGCTCAAATTAGAGGACTCTAGTTGATGTAGGTTGTAATGGGATTAATTATTCTGCAGTGACTCCTTGTCATACTAATTCTCATGAGGTGTGTGGTGATAGGGTGCAAGGGAATGACTTAACGCTGTGTTAGGGGAAGTTCAGATTGGATATCAGGAAAAAGTTACTGAAAAAGGTGATCAAGCACTGGAACTAGCTCCCTGTGGAGGTGGTTGTGGCGCTGAGGCTGTAGATGTTCAAGAAGTATTTGGACATTGCTCTTGGAGATGGTCTAACTTGCCTGTGTGTGTGGGGTGCATATGCTGGGTCACAAACCTTCGGCATCACTGACAATGTAAAAGTATCATTAGCATTTGGTTTAGAAGATGAACGATGTCTAAATTAATGATGCACTTGTGTTAGACTAACAGCGTCTAGATTAACAATGGCTAAAAGCAAAAGAATTTGTGCTTGTTAGGGAAGAAACAGATAAGGGATTCTTTAAAGTAACAAGGTAGAAACTTACCTACCAGCTGCGTGTGGTTAGTAGTATTTGTTCAAAGTGCTGAGAGCAACTGTTTTTTGAAATGATCATGCACAAGGGCAACATACAGGTTTGCTCTTATTTTTAGAATGTACAAGAATATATAAGGACTTGTTTTTCTAATGAACTTTGGAGCTTGACTGTTACCCATATTGGTGTGTGTCATGTCTCACAACCTCATCCTGCAAAAGGGTTCCCTGCTGCATGTGTGGAGTCAGGAGTTGGATGTGATTCTTGTGGGTCCCTTCCAATGTAGGATATTAAGTGGTGTTTTAAGGTGTAAAGTAGTACTTAATACCTTATAAGGGATATTTTTATGCATGTTTAATTTACTTTAGTAGTACCAGTTTATCTTTCTGCTGCAAGCTTTTTAGTCTGTGGTTTTTAGCCTGTACTTCCTGTCTTGCATCCTGCCTTTTCTGGGAAGCTAGCATGTACTCTGTGGGCAGTAGGTGTT